ACTCTAATGTTGAAGTTGGAAATAAAAAGAAAAGGGAAGTTGTGCCAAAAATACCAATTTCATTTTGTTTACAGCTAAAATTGAAAGGTGAAAAGGGTTTCTGAGGACTTTCACTAAAACAGAGTAGAAATTAGAGACAAGCAGTAAAACTGCACTTCCTGTCTCCAGGTGAAGCTATCAGACTTTGGATTCTGCGCTCAGGTGTCGAAGGAAGTGCAAAGGAGGAAATCTCTGGTCGGGACGCCATACTGGATGGCGCCGGAACTCATATCCAGACTCCCGTATGGACCGGAGGTACCACTCTGTTTTTATTTTTTGTTTTAGTTCCTGTTTTATGAAGCGTTCGGCTCTTCGTGTTGTTGATGTTTTTTTGTTTTTGTTTCGGCGCAGGTGGACATCTGGTCTCTGGGCATCATGGTCATAGAGATGGTGGACGGCGAGCCGCCGTACTTCAACGAGCCGCCGCTCAAAGCCATGAAGATGATCCGAGACAACCTGCCGCCCAAACTGAAGAACCTGCACAAGGTACAGAAACGGACACATCGTCTGCGTATAACGACACACTGAGTAAAAACCAGACGGAAGCTCAAGCCGCGTGACTGATCTGTTAATAAATGTTCCTCTCAGGTGTCCCCCGTCCTCAAAGGCTTCCTGGACCGGATGTTGGTGCGGGAGCCGGGTCAGAGGGCCACGGCCAACGAGCTCCTCAAACACCCCTTCCTGCAGAAGGCCGGCCCGCCGTCCTGCATCGTCCCCCTGATGCGTCAGAACCGGATGAGATGAGACGAACCGAGACACTAAAGACCTCCGGACTCTGAAGGAGCAGAATCCTCTCGCTCAGTCGCAAAATTTAAAAAAGAAATAGCCGCGTGGGAGGATTCTCTGGATCTTACGTGAGTCACTGAACTGTGGGGAGGGTTCCCCTAAAAACGAGGCAATAAGATGGTGTGTGTGTGTTGTGTGTGTGAGTGTGTGTGTGTGTTTTCTAAAGGGGCATCAGCTGGATTTTGTGAAGGGTGGGGGGTGGGGGGTTGCACACAATTCGGATGATCTGAAGGCGACGGAGAAACTTTTTCGGACAATCTGCAGACTTTTCTTTCCACTACAGAGGTTTGTGAATGACACATCTGGATCATCCCGGCTGAGGAGTTACTACTAAAAGAGGTGACCTTTGACCTCGTCACAATCCTACTTTTCCTTTCTGTAAACAAACAACGTGAAGATGTAAACACTGGAGTCGTGGTAGCAGACGAGCGTCTCACCTTTTTTCTTTTTTTCTTGATTTAAGTGCAGTGAACATATAGAGATGCCAGTTTTCTGTTTTGTGTTTTTTATAATTTGTTTTAGTTTAGTGAGACCTTTTGACTTTTTTAAGCACTGATGATGAGAGATGCGTAGAAACTGCACACTTGCTTCATTTCAGATCAGCACAGAATCGACGCTAAACGTTTAATTTAGTTTTTTGTTTTGTATTTTTGTAAATCTTCTGACATTAACCACACGACTGTACACTAAATCCAAACGAGTTAATTCCCTGATTTATTACTTTACCTGCTGGTTTGCGCTGTAGTATTTTTTAGACATGTAGAACATTTTTGGTTATTAATTTAATTGTTTTAACGTAGATCATGAACTTTAAAAGCAAACCGAGCTTTTTACTAAAGTTTTTATTTTGTGTGTTCTTTGTTGTTTTTTTGTTTTGTTTTGTTTTGTTTTTTTTATAACCGTTCAGGAGTTGTTTTACTGTTACACTGATGCGTTGCTCAGATTAACGGCTCGTCAAATTAATGCCTCGTTTGCGGCAACACGAAACCTCCAGCTCTGGAGCTCAGTCAGCAGAAATTAAAGCAGATTTTCTGGTGTTCTGCTGCTGGGATTAGGCAGATTTAACACGCTCACGAGACAGGAAACGGGCTTAAATTAGAGGTAGAAATGTGCCAATTTTTATATAATGGTTCTGAAAGACGAGCCGTGATTAGAAGACTTTATTTTTAGGTCCAAAGTGCAAAAAAAGCTGCCGGAAACCAGTGAATTTTATTTGTTTTATGGTAACGCACAGGATGATCTGTATCAGCTAAAAAATAACATTCCTCTTTAACATTTGATTCCAGCGAATGTGTTGACTCATTTATCGTTTTCATTCCTCTGAAATCTTCCAGTTCATACTTTTTTTTTTTTTTTACCACAACAGCTTCTCACCGAACGGCTCCCAGCTCCCTCGTGGTCGCAGGCTCTTGCGACTCCATTCCGGGTCTCGAGGAGCTGGAGTTTTCAGTTTGAAAGCAGCAGCGAGACGGGCAAATAAAAGCCGAGTCTTTAACTTGTCTCCATTTAGTCCACGTTAAATCCGGAGTACTGGAGCGACTCTGGCGAAAAACATGAGGTTGTTTAGCAAAATAATGTGCGCGACCAGGAATACAGATTTGTGCAAAAATAAGCTTTCACTTTCAAGCATTGGTTGCTTAAAACTCAGTTTCGTTTTTGACACTTTGCAATTACTGCAGTTAGTGCTGTGTGATGACGTATCTTTGTTTACAAAACACTGTCACTATCAGGCACACATGAGGCCAACGGCGGTACAAGAAAAGACAGAAAATGTGGAGCCGGGCCACAACGTCAGCTTGATGCTAATGCAGTTATCTATTTATTGTCATATTAACTGTACTTGGATAAATGACACGATTAACTGTGATTAAAAAAATGCCAATATTGCCCAATCCTACTTAAAACCGAAGCTCTTTTGCATCAAGGATAAAAACAAAATGAGGTCCTAAGAAATGGTTTAGATGTAAATCAGTAAACCAGCTGATGGATTTTAGACAAAAACAATCAACCAGACACGTCTGGATATTTAATTAATTACTATGTAGGGAAAGTTGTGCTCTTCCAAAAAGTATTTTTAAATGTTTGAGTTCTTCTAAGAGTTGTAAGTTGAGTTAAGTTACATTTAGTTGAAAGGTGAAGTCACCCCAACCTGATGTACCTCGGTGCCGCGAAGCAAGGCAGCAGAGCCGAAACAAAACAAAACCCCTGAACCGAGTGAACTCCTGTTTTAAAACCAGCTCGTCACTTATTTAATGCACTTCCTTTCTGGAAACTCACGTCTGAGCGGGACGTGACCGTCTCTGTGATTCATGAAGAAGCTTGTTGACGGAAGAGCTGCGTCACAAAGCCAAAGAAAGTTAACTGGATCACAAACACGTTAAAAAAAATCTCCTTTTATCTTTCATTTTTGGTCAGCCCGTCTGCGACGATCAGCCGAGTGAGAAACGACCTTTAAGCTCTTAACGTCATCAAACAGGAAACTGTAAGTCGTAGCTGTATTTGGTGTAGCTCATTCACCGGACCTCGTCTTGTTTTTTTTCCCACACGCAGCCGAAGCTGCTCCCTGGAACAATTTATACAAGAAACAACCAAACTACAAGTTCTTGTAAAACAAAGATTTTCTCAAATCAGGATTTAGTTCTTAATCCGTGTTTGTTTGATGGTTTCTGTGAGGTTTAATGTTTTATGACTACAGTTATCCCTGCTGCATTGGGACTTGAAAAAAAAAATCACCTTTTTGTCAGGTAAAGTTCTATTTCTTAATCATCAAACTTCTGCTTTACTTTAATAATTGCTGCAGAAAATTCAATCTAATCCCTGAAAAGTAAAATATCAGATATTTTTTGTGCCCAGGCCTGAGCTGGCAGCCGTAATCCTCCGCTCCTCTGATACGTTTTCGTATTTCCAAAACATTTATTTTTTAAAATTATTTATTATTTTTTCCCTGCAGATATCGGTCGTAGGCGTTTCTGGTTTTCTGCCTCCTTGGCAGTGATCCAGGCTGTAAATTTTCCTCATCGGGTTCTGAATCTGCGCTGTGGTCGGATGTGGAGCGGGGCCGGTAATGAGTCACAGAGAGCTGAGATATTTTCATCTGACTTCCTGGTTCTAATCAGAAACACGAGCAGAATGAGAAAATAAAATAGGACGACGGGACGAGCGACAATCAATTTAAAGTTTTTTTTTTTATCTTCATCGCCAAACTTTTAATTCTTTCATCTAAAACTTGGATTCTGAGCGTTTTGGTGACTTTCTGTTCATTAATGTGAAAATCTTTTTGTCTCTTATTTGTGCTTTTAAACCATTTTCTACAACTTTGTGTTTTTTTTCTGTGAATTTCTAAGTTTTATTTTAAGTTTTTGAAGCAGCTTAACAGATCTGAGATGAATTTAAAGTAAAGACTTGATTTACGTTACTTCAGTTTGTTTTATTTAAATTTCTCATCATTTTGGTTGAATTTCTCTGGAAACTAAAAGAAACTAATTATTTTAAATCAGTAACCACTGTTCTGGTTCAGATGTTTTTGGTACTGGTCTCTTCTGCAGGATCTACTCTGAACATCTGAAGTTTTATTTAAAAAAAACTCACCTCTTGTTTTAAAACTTTATTTTTGTTAAGCTTGTTGCAATATTTACGTTTTTAAACATCCAAGCATCGTGTTTCTGTAAATTTTATTGTATTGTACAAAACATAAACTTCACTTTTAAAGTTTTACCATGTTTATTACTTTTTAAAATGTTTTTATGTCTGAAATGTTGGAGTTTGTTGGTCAAAAGTGGAAAAAATGCAGGTAGAAATTTTTATAAACAGTTAATATCTTACCTGCTGCAGATGGCTCTTTGAACGTTCAAAGATGATCATTTTAAAACTCTAATCTGAAAAGTTTCTTAACGATTCGTGCAAATGTTATATTTTGAATCATTACTATGCGGGAAGTGGCCACGGGCTGCACAGGAAGTGCTACAGCTGCTGTTTGAGAATAACCCCAAGAATTCAGTGCAGTCGGGGTGCTTGGCATCACCCGCCACCTTTCATGCTTAAAAGAAAAAAAGATTAGTCGTCTTCAGTTGTTTGATTCAGTCTCACTACTTCCTTCGCCGTCACGTACCTGCAAAGTTCTCACCTGCTTCCATGACGCTGTGACGCAGCAGTCTGTGGAAACCCTGAAATGATGACAACAACAACAAAAAAATAGTTTCCACGCTGGTTCTCAGTAACACACAGACTCAGCACGAATTATTTTTATCTCCGCTTCCGCCGTGTGGAGTCGAAACATCTCTGCAGGCTGCGGCGGTGTTCAGACGGAGGAGAGGGTCCCCTTTAAAAGAGTTATTCACAACAGGACAGCTGTGTGTGTGTGTGTGTGTGTGTGTGTGTGTGTGTGTGTGAGCGCGTGCGTGTGTGCGTGTGTGTGTGTGTGTGTGTGTGTGTGGATCGCAGATAAGACAAATACTGAAGAAGTGACAACATTTTCTCAGTTTGTGGTTTGGTGCTAAAGCAGGCTTCAGCTCAGTATTCGAGGAAACAAGTAGGTTTAACTAAAACCAGATCTGCAGAAGACGGGTTCTGTGAAGTGTTTATGAGCAGTCATTATCTTACCTGTCGCGTGGTGTAGAGAAACACTGATTTTTTTGGAAACCAATGAGTCGTCTGTTTTGATGCTAAGCTGATCCTGAGTTCACCCACGTGTTTCATCCGTCAGATCATTCCAGCAGATTATCACCTTCCCGACTCCGCCCTGCTGCAGACCGAGGAGGAAACACGATCCATGTCCTGCTGGAAGGAAGTCTGCAAAACCAAACGAACCAAGAAAGCCTTTTGTTTCTGCTGCTGCTCAACCAACCTTTAGCTCTCTATCTTTATAATGACCAATTACATCGATGAAGCTAACGTCATCAAACTTTAGCTCGAAATCTGTAAATCTGATCCATTTGTCTGTTTCCAAATGTCAAATTTCTGTGGCAGTCATCTTGATTTAGATCAACTCCAAATCCTAATCAGTTATACCTCAAGATTATTTCTGGAACGTTTCATCAAAATGTTTTTCTTGTGATTTTCTTTTTTTTTTTTTTTGCTAACAGATGAAGGTTGACCACAATAGTTTGTGCCTAAGTATTGAACACAGATTTCGAGTAGTCGATTTATGCTTTCAAAACTAGATGCAGATCAGACTCAGCTACTATCACGCCAAGTTTTAATTCAAAATTTGGAAAATTGACTAAACTGTTGTCATTTTTGTGAAATTTAAGTTTAATAAGCTCTGGCGGCTATCTTAAATTTAGTTGCCTCTAAAGTTTATACAGTTCTAGATGTATATCTATTTATTGTTCTCTGAAAGTTTCATTCAAATCTGTCATATAGTTCATGAGATATTTTGCTAACAGACATTAAAACATGCATTTTTGTGCCTGTTTTTGCCAAATCCTGTTAAATTTAAAATTTTATGAGTAAAGTTTTTTTTTTCTGGAAAAGCCACAGGAAGTATTTTCTTTAGTTTTTACAAATGTGTCGGTTCCAAACATTTTAATGCGGGAACGACTTGGTTTACTTGTGTGTTTTTGGTAGAAATAGGCGGCGTTTCCATAATACCACAGAGATGTGCGGGTGGGCGTGGCTCAGCGGAGCCGGCAGCCAATAGGAAGCCGAGTCTACTAGGCTGGGCGGGATTTAATGGCACAGCAGCCAATAGGAAGTAGCGCGTCTCCGGAGGGCGTGACTCGGTGGCTACAGCAGCCAATAGGAAGCCTGAATGCTCCTGTCACACAGATCGATGAGTCAAAGCGGAGCAGCAGAAACAGGTCCACTTGTTGCCGAGCAGGAGCTGAGAGCGTCATCTGAGCGGACCGGACCGCGGAATTCTGATCCGTTTGCGCCGCTCCGAGCCTGAAATCTGTCGGACCGCCACCCGAACCGGACCGAACATCCACCTCCTGCAGATACAGGACCTCAGGTGAGCCGTGTTTATGGTTTAAATTGTCATTTTGGATGCAGGTGTCGGTTTTAACCTCACCTGACAGACAGAACCGGGCCGGTACAGAACATATGGAGACCTGGGAGGTGTTGACAGAAGCAGAGCTGGACCGATGACGGTTTTATTTTTATTAATTTGTTTCTTTTGCGAACAAAAACATTCCGGGTCTTTAATTTAAACGCTTGAGCATAAATCCAGAAGCAGTAAATCTGCTGTCCTGCAGCTTCTCCTCATTCTGATGCTCCTCAGGAACAAAGAGGCTTTTCAGAACCGGCCCCAGTTACAGTAACTCCTCAATTAGATTCAAACAAGTCCTGAAAGACGAGCCAAGTTCTCTGGACCGGACCGGGTCTCTGAGGAGAAGGATGGGTTTACAGGATCCAGTTGTCCCTGGAGACAGGACGGGTCCATTCAAACGGTTTGACTGATTGTTTTGTCTCTATCTGTGGAGGAATCCAAAGTTCGGCTGCAGCTCGAACCCGTATTTGGAGTTCTGACATGAAGTGGGTCCAAAGAGCCCTGAGTTTTGTCTGCAGGCAGCTGGAGGAGAAATTTCATTAAAAAACCCAGGAAAGAACGTATAAAGCGTGTTTAAATGAAGTTTTTATATCACGTCTTAGCATTTTAAAAAAGAAATTATGACTTACTGATTTTTTTATAGGAATGCACAACACCTGCCGCTTTTTACACCATAAATCTGAACTAAAACAATTTTTTGAGAACTTGGCTGTTTAGGTCAAATTTTTAAAATGATGTTAAGCCCAATCAGTTCATTCTCAGATCATATGTTGTGGATGACTCTCAGCTACTAGCACACCGAAATATAGCTCCATCTCTGTCAGTTTCACTGAGCTATAACCCAATTTGTGTTCTCTAAGTTCAGGTGTCTGTGGCGGCCATCATGAATCAGGTTGACCCCAAACTTTAAATAGTTGTAGAAGTCAGTCCAGTCATTACCTTCTGGTAGTTTCATTTAAATCCACCCTATGGTTTATGAGATATTTTGCTAACAGACAGAAACAGAGCTTCTGTTTTTGCTTATCTTTCCCTTTTTTGCAGATTCTTAACGACGTCCCTGTCAACTCACGTGACAAAATATTTTGTCCTTGTGCTGAGTTTTTGGTTTTTCGTCTTTCACCTTTACTGACATTTACAGACAGGTGAATGAGGCTGGAACCCATGGATCCGCTGGGCCAGACTGGGACAGAACCAGGTTAAACCCCTCCTCCTCGTCTGTGGTCGGTTGTGTAAATGCAGCATCAGCCCTTTTTTCTCGAGTGGTTAGAAGTTGGTACTTTTTTTTTTTTCCTTCAGAAAGACCTGCACCCGAAAGGGCAGCAAAACCCCCATCATAACCGAGAACAAACTACAAAAACACAAAAACACACCTTATCCCTGATAAACACTTCCTGCTGACCTCTAAATGTCACAAAGTGTGCACGTGTGTGTGTTTATGTTTGTGTGTCCTTATTAGAATAATTTCACCAGCTTGTCAGAACCTGCTGCTACGTTTGGTGAACCAAAGCCCGGTCCTCATTTGTTTAAACATTTTTCAGTTTGGGTTTAGGGTCAGGCTACAGAAATGACTGAATGAACTTCATGCACGATCCTCATAAAGATGGAGAAAACAATGTGTGAGTGTGTGTTTTAGGAGCCTCTCTGGTTTTAATACCTAACTTGTCAGGACAGGTGGTCCTTATGAGGCCCACAGTCTGGTCCTGATCCAGTGGACTGTTAGTTTTAGGTGAAGGTTTGGTTTGGAGTGATGATGTGGACTGAGTTTAGGTTATTGGTTATTTAAGTAAATATTATTGGTTAGATAAGTACTGATAATGGTTATTGGTTGGTTAATTACTGGTAATGTTATTGGTTAGATAAGTACTGATAATGGTTATTGGTTGGTTAATTACTGGTAATG